TAATTCTTACATTATTTTATTGTTTGTTAATTTTACAACTTTACCATATTTTGCATGCACTGGAGAACATTTGGTGAAAATTTGATGAAAATCGGACTGATATTGAGCGCGCAGTAGCGATTTTCCGCAAAACGCCAAAAAGGGTGTTCTGTAACCTTAAGTCTGTGTGAGGATTGTAGGTTTATTCCTTAGTATTTAAGTATATACATGCAGTTAGATTATGTACATACTCACAGGGTCTTGAAAGCAAACCATGCCGTGAAATATGTAATGAAGCCCTATGGTTTGTGTGATGTATCTAACTATAGATAGGTAGAATTAATAGGTAGATGTTGTACAATCTACCAAAATTGCGGCTTATAGAATCGGGCAGAACATTTAGTTATGCCAAAAGCGTAAACCTAATTAGATGCCCTAGACTAATAATCCCACATGTTTTACAAAACACAAAAAACATGGTGCGCAGGGTCTGGCAAACATTTTTTTTGACTGCACAGTATGGCAGTCATTACGTAGTATATATACTATATGGATTAATACTTTTAAATAATATATATAATAAGGATTGATTGTTCAAAGCAGTATACGAAGCAGTCCGAGCCAGTTTCGCGTTTCAACGTGGTAGGATATTGGGTCAATATCATTAGAAATGACTGTAAAGAAAGGCGAACATGAGTCGAACGGCATGTAAAATGGCTTTGGACAAACCATCCCATTGGTTCAACAAAAAATATAAAATATAACATCAGGGAGATAGATGGATGGTATTGGAGAGATGTTGTGATTTTTAATGAAACATTGAATAATGACGTGACTGTGTATTGGGGCTATAGCAAACCTCACAGAGTCTTGGGTTGACCGTGCTTGTGAAGTATGTTAGCGGATAGTATATATCATATGGAAGATACAGTATATATAGTTGTGTTAATTGTGCTTTTTCATTTGTTTGGCCCTCAAAGAATTGAGAAGAATTGTTAAAATAGGTTTAATTGTGTCGATCTAAATGAAATTGGGGCAATATATTAGAATAGATTATTATGGTTTAATTGTGCTAATTATGAACTACTGCGCAGTAGACCCGTTGAGCTGAAATGCGTACTACCTATTTTTTTTTACTTAGCTTAATCAATGGGTTAACACATTAGAGTGAAAAAACTCTTCCCTTGATGAGTTTAAAGCTAAATCGTCTGGCATTAGACAGAGTAAAACAACAAAATAGGGCATATTTGGGTGCATTTCTGCTTAATAATTAACAAATTAAGTGCCAGCACTCTAGAGAAAGGTGCATTGCCATTGAAGTAGGGGGCTATTTGCAGAGTTTTCACAGAGTTGGAATACCACCACTGGGAATTGTGTACGGTCTTTTTCCCCAAAGCCAAAGGCAACACACCAAATATAAACCCCGTTTGTGTATTATTTTGACTCGGTCAAAGACTTTGCCTAGAAGCGTAGCATATAAATATGAGTCATCATGCTTTGAATAGGGATGACGGTGCCTATTTGCCAGAGGAATATATGCATCTTCTTGGAAGGTGACGTCATCCCTTGGGTCTTTAAAAAGCCACGATCGCAGTTTTAGATCACCCCTGATGAAGACACTTGACTGGAGTGTCGAAACGTTGGATCCTGATTACAATTCGATTAAACCAGAGTAGCGAGCGAAACATGATTGATATACCTGGTTGCAGTGAACGCACAAACTTTATATATATATTTAATCATATTTAACACTTAAAATGTATTAATAAAGATAAAACAACTTCACTTACCTTGCTTTTAACCGCAGGAAAACCCCGAAATCTTCTTTTGTATTCGCAGGATATGGAAAGTAGCACATATATAAGCACGAGGTTCAAAGGAAATTTGAAGGAAATTCCACGCAATAAAAATCAAGGAAGTAAATTTCGGGATTAATGGAATTAACATTTTCCAAGTGTTTGGAGGAAATTTTGAACGGAAAAACACCATTTTGATAGTGGAAGTGGAAATCAGTTTGGCAAAAAGTGGAAACACAGCATGCTGCAAAAATTATGCTCGCTTTGATTTTGAGTAAATGATGCTCGTTTTGACTGAATGATGCTCGTTTTGAAACACCGTATGTTCGATTCGAATAGGTGTTGATTGACTCGCAAGTGCGGCTATTTGATATTCGATTTGACAAATAAACGTTCGATTTGGCTAGTGTTTGCTCGATTTGAATGTATATTGATCGATTTACATATCAGTCTGCTCGATTCGAGTAAGTGTTGCTCGATTTGCATCATTGGTGAACGATTTAGAACTATTGAATTTTGACAGTAAAAACGCGCCATATGAAAGAGCATCACAAAATTAGTAATATTCCAAAGTTTCGTTGCAAAATGTTGTAAAATGCGGATAATATAGCCTTGCGAAGTTTGCAATTTTCAGTCATTTTAGATTACCAACGGGAAATGGTTACCACTTTTGTGCGTAATACAAAATGACTGAAAATTACAAACTTCGCAAGGCTATATTATCCGCATTTTACAACATTTTGCAACGAAACTTTGGAATATTATTATTTACTAATTTTGTGATGCTCTTTCGAGCTGTGTTGAAGTTTTTGTTTAGGCTAGTTAAGATCAAAATTTTGGAAAAGTGGTAACCATTTCCCGTTTGTAATCTAAAATGACTGAAAATTGCAAATTTCGCAAGGTTATATTATCCGCATTTTACAACATTTCGCAACGAAACTTTGGAATATTACTAATTTTGTGATGCTCTTTCATGCCATGATGGAATTTTGTCTAGACTTGTTGAGATCAAAATTTTGGGTAATAGGGGAATGGTCCATTGATACATTTAGTACCATTTTTCCAAGCTAATTCCATCGGATCATACCGCTAAACAAGCTGTCAGTTCAGAAAACCTAGTGTTATTCTTTAAAACGATGTCAAAATACGAGATTTGGGCACACTTCTTGCCTGTTTTGTGTTAACCTCGCAGACAGAAGAAATAGAAAGGGACTGGAACTGACGTCCAACAACTCTTCATGCAATTTCCGCATTTTGCCTTCACTTTTTGGACTTGAGTTCTCGCTATACAGATAAATGTGGAGCTCACTAGGTAGAACCAGGGTTGAAAAAATCCTGGAAAGTCATTTGATTCGTTGGTTAACGGTATCATTTTTCATTTTCGTTTCACAGGCACGGGGTGAGAAAGCAGTTAGAGAGGAATTTCCTGACGCAATAATCCTAAGGCCGTCTGATATTTATGGTCATGAAGACAAGTACTTTAACTACTACTCATGTAAGTACCCTGCATTTGGCTTACTGTATACAGATAATATTTATAGATACTTTGGTTCTCAAAAACAAGCAGTAAAAACGATTTAAAATATCACAATAACAGCATAAAAATGTAAGAAATCTCATTTACGTTGTGATTAAAATGTCAAAGAGGTCTGCTTTTTGCACAAAAACATCCGAATTTTATAAAAACGTTCATGTTGTTTTTTTGTAGGTTTTGTTCGTGTATTTAAAACTGCCTCTTGCTATAAAACTACATACCGCACGCTCAACCTATACATAACTCAGTTATCCGCTAGCAGATACCTGAGTTTTATGTAGGTTGCGTGATTTCCATATTTAGCTGATTAGCATAACTGTGGTAAATGCATGTATAAACAATCTCATAAAAAGAAACACGCCCATTGTGCTTTTTGCGCTTAGAAGTAGACGTTTTATGGTTTTCACAGGATAACCTTACTTAATTTAGCTGTTTATAGTCCATCTGCTCATCTGAAAGAAACAATCATGTTATTGTTTCGTATTTCTAGATTTCCGCAATATTCCTTTCGGCATTCCATTGATTGATGGCGGTATGAACACCAGAAAGAGACCTGTTTTCGTAAGTATTCTTTCTCCTTTTCAGGCCTTCCAAAAAAATGCTAATTAAGACCACAGTTAATAGAACTCATGGTTTGGAGACTCCACTAACTACAATATAACTCATTATCTATATCAGTTTACGTTTATGCAAGAATATGATTTTATCGCATCACGTGTGTATTGTATTTTCGCCTAAACAACCGATAGTAATGCTTAAACTAACTGTTGTTGAAGTCAGGACTGGATAATTAAGCCAAAACATTGCTATTGGTAGTTTGGGTGAGAATACAATACACTCGTGGTGCGATAAAATAACATTCTTGCATAAACCTGGACAATAACATAGATAATAAATTATATAATTGTACTTTGTGGAGTCTCCAAACCATGAGTTCTATCAACTGTGTTACTAGGACCTTCTGTTATTTACAGCACATTACATAACTGTACTTCCAGGTTATAAAACTACCAGTTCTTGACGTTTTATTCCGCTTTGTATTTCCACTTACATAGTATTTTCAAAATATACTCTTAATAATAAATTTAATTTTCTATTTTTCTTTATGCTCAACACCCAACCTGGTAAAACTGACAGCTGCGCATGCTATATTTCGCCGCCCAGTCAATTTTCTCTACAACCAATATGTAGTTGAAAAGTTTCCTACTGTAGATACCAATCGGAAAACACCCAATATCCAATTTGGTTTCAATTATTATTTGGGCAATTCACATTTCCCTTTATAGTTAACGACTTTTATGTTCCCTTTTAAACTTGCAGTAAAATCTATAGACCAGTTCGTTGTTTGCTAGTGATTGACCGATTGTGCAGCAATCGGAAATTACCGATTACCGATTATTCATGTCACAATCTACCCCGATGCCGATTTTATAATGACGTCATAAAATCAGCCGACCAAGTAAAGGTGACGTCATCAAACACTATTGTTTGTTTTAGGTTGTAGACGTCGCGAAGGCAGCAGTGAATGCAATATATAATGGAAAACTGGGGAGTACATATGAGGTTTTTGGGTGAGTGATGTTTAACATGAAATGTCTTCTTTCCCAATGAGAAAAGTGATTTCATTTGAAAAACGAAAACTCTTGAAGCAACTATTTGACTATAAACGGCGGTTCGTACGGGTTGAGGTGTTTTCCAAGGCCGGGGGAGTTTTGGAAAATCTATTGTCACTGTTTAGGGGCTATTGAAAATCTTGGAATTTTGTACACAAATAAAAGCCATTGAAAAAATCTAGAAAACGCTATTATTAGATTTTTATGTTTCTATGAGTTTTATTCGCGTTTTATAGCGAAAGCTTATGCTCATTCTAATATTTAAACGCCCACTTGGATCCTCACGCTTGAAAATCAAAAGTATATTTTCTGTTGTACTTATAGTATTACTTTTTAAGAAGTTTGTTTTTGAACTTTTTTTGTAAGAGCAATGGAACTTTTTGGAAACGTTTTCGAAGATGCTTGTGATGTTACTCTGAGTGTATATCCACACCGGACAGGCTTGAAATTAAAATATGCCTGGCGACGGTGGGAATCTAACCTACGACCTTTGGAGTACTAGCCCAATGCTCTGCCAACTGAG